TTCCTCATCAGGACTATCAGATGTGTTGGCACTCCCATGTCTTTAACATGTCTTTTACACAACTGATTGACCAAACAAAATGATGATTCAAAAGTAAAAAGGCAGAGGTGTCATGTTTGGAAGTAACCTTGCTTACTGTTTGAAAAGCTCGTCATACTTGGGAAAAATAAATTACACCAATGTCACTTTCTAATGCATTATTGCCAAACATTATCTAAGCATTATCTCCAGGAGCACTCTGTCCCACTTTGACTGTCATATAACTTTGCTGAAATGTTTCAGTGTATTAAACCTAAGATCTATTCCATCCTGTGAAAAAAATAGGTTTGTTGTTGTGTGCCTTCAAGTCATTTCTGACTTATGGTGAATCTATAATGAGGTCTTCTTGTCAAATTTCTTCAGAGGGGATTCTCCATTGCCATTCTCTGAGGCTGAGAAAGTGTGACTTGCACAAAGTCACCCAGTGGGTTTCTATGGCTGAGCAGGGATTCAAACCCTGTACTCCAGAATCATAGTCCAATGCTCAAACCACTACACCATGCTGGCTCTCTCTGAGAAAATAGGTACTTTTGCTAACAGTAAAAAAATATATCAGTACCAAGTTTCAGGAATTGACACCACTAATGCAAAATTAGATTTGTTTCCAAGTTTCCTATGGTACCCTTTTTAGCAGGAAAAAATATGATACCAATCTATTTTTTTAATGCTGATTAATTAAAAAAATTAAATTGTACCAAAGAATATTCAATTTCAAAGTAATTTCCTATGCTTAATCGTCTGAAAATATGAGAACAGCAATACAGTAATAAGAAAGCTTTTTCATCTAAGTGAAAGTCTCACATATGCAAATTGAGGGCATAGAGCAGGGACTCACAAATAGCTAGTGAAAAATAAGTTTTAAAAGGGTGATAATATGATAAAAGAGCTGAGATCCTACATCTTGCTTGTGAAGTGTAAGTAAACACTCACATATCTACATTGTGGTTGCACTACTGTGTGGGGAGAACACACAGTAACTCTTTCTGCAATGTATATCTGTGTGCATGTGCGTGCATCTTCAAGTCACCTGTTATGGTGACCCCATGAATTTCATAGGGTTTTCTTAGGCAAGGAATACTCAGAGGTGGTTTTGCCATTTCCTTCCTCTGAAATACAGCCAACAGTACCTACTATTTGTTGGCAGTCTCCCATCCAACTACTAACCTGTGCTGATTCTGCTTAGCTTCCAAGATCAGACAGAATCCAGTGCCTTAGGGTATTTAGGAGTGTTTATCCATATGTAAAATAGTTACACTTGTGGAACTCTGTTTAGTCAGTACTGAACTGAATCAAATCAAATAAAATCTTTATTACGGCTATTTGGCCAGCACAAAGAACTGAATACATATATTGCATAATGTCTTTAAAAATACAACTGCAGTGCAAGGAAAATTACATGTGTATGATACCAACAACATTCCAGTCCAAATTGCTGTCCTTATGTAAAAGAGCATATATTTGCAAAGGTGTTCTTCTTCTTTAAAAAAAATCCTGAATTCCATAAAAATATTGAATGAAGCAAGGAAATAACATATAATCTAACTGCTCTATTTCATTATATTTTCACTTTATGCAATGCTACTCCTTATGCCTCCTGAGCATCTGAAAGCTCTGAAATCTTTCCTACTTCCTCTTTAACACCTAAAGCAGATGAAACTATATCAATATGTGCAGAGCTTCATGTTCAGATGAATTTTTGCAGTGCTCTTATTCTTCAGTGAAAGGGTATATTTCAAGAAGGGTGATTTCCCCCCCCCCCCAGAAGAGCAGCAGTCCCCTAGGGAAAATAGCCACATCTGTCTCCATTTACAGTACTGGCAAAATGCAGGGGGCTTTACAGATGAATTGTCCCCTGCCTTTTTCCCCCTAGTGATTTCACTTACTTCTTTTCAGCTGTTCTCTCCAATTCAAATACTATGGATGGATCTCAAGAAATGAAACTAGGCATTGGCTCCCCCAAGAGGCAAGCAGTTACAAATAAAAGCCAAGAGAATATTTTAATATTTACTTTTCTGGAAACAACTGCTGATGGGCATTAAGTTTAGAGATGTGAAGTGCAAGGAATCTGTTTCAGCAAACTTTTATGCGAATTTTTCCTAGCATGTGCTTTTGCAGCTGGATGCATACTGGGCATGCCTTATATTCCTGACTCCCTACCTTGTTGTACAGTCTGAGCTAAATCTGATAAAATATGCATGATTTAAAACCTTCATAATAATCCTGTGAGTGTGAACTCTCCAAGACCCCTTATCCTCCACTGTTTTGCTTAGGTCTTTTAGGGGCTATGCAGATGGGGGTATGGGCTATCCCTGCTAGCTGCAGATCAGAGCCACGGCAGCTGCATGCCGCAGCCCTAATTCTCCCTTTTGCCACCCCTGAAAGAGCAGCAAAATGACACTCCTTTTAGGGGCAGCAAAAGGCCGCCCTAAGAGCCGGCTTGTGGCTCTTTAGTACCCTTTCCAGAGCAGCACATCAAAACGCTGTACTGGAAGGGTGTCCTGATGCCACGCACCATGCGTAACTGCACACAGCAACAGGACAGTGTCAATGTGGTATTGGGGTGGCCGGCATGTGCTGCCCTACCCCATCTCTGCCTCCAGGCCGGCCCTTTCATACCTGTTACTTCTCTGATTGACTCTATCCATCTGGTGGGTGGCCTTCATCTCTTTCTACTACCTTCTACCTTTCCTAGCATTATTTTCTTTTCTGATTAATCATGCCTTCTCATGATGCGGCCAAAGTACAACAGCCTCAATTTAGTCATCCTGGCTTCAAGGGAGATGTCAGGCTTGAACTGTTCTAAGATTTTTTGACCATCCATGGTATCCTTAGCATTCTTTACCAGTACAACATCTCAAGTGAGTTAATTTTATTTCTATCTGCTTTTTTTCACTGTCCATCTCTCATATCTGTACATGACAATTGGGAATACCATGGCTTGGATGATCTAAGTTTGGTGTACAGTATCATATCTTTGCACTTTAGGATCTTGCCTAATTCTTTCATAGCTTCCAGTCTCATTCCTAGTCTTGTGAAATCTTGACTGCAGTGTCTGTTTTAATCAATGTTTGATTCAAGTTATGGAAAATCTTTGACTATTTTGATTCCCTCATCATCGAAGATGAATTCAGGTAGATCTTCTGTGATCATTATTTCTGTTTTCTTGATGTTTATCATTAAGCCTACTTTAGCACTTTCTTCTTTGCCTTTCTTTAGTAATTGTTCCCAAGTCTTTTTTGTTTTATTTTGTTTTGTTTTCTGCTAGTGGTGTGGTGTCATCTGCATATCTGATATTTTCTGCATACAAGTTGAACAAATAGGGTGCCAGAATGAAGTCTGACCCCTTTGCCAACTGGGAACCATTCTGTTTCTCCATATTCTTTTCTAACAGCAGCTTCTTGTACTGAGTACAGGTTCTGCATCAGGACAAACATACGTAGTGACACTCCCATTCCAGATTTAAAACTCCATACAGAAATATGTGCCTAGTTCAACTATGCACAAAAACTCAACATGGGCATGTTTTAGTCTTGGAGATGAGAGATGGGGAGCAGAGAGATTGGACTGCTGAGGCCATCATACTCTCTTTTAGAGGCCCTCTTAACCTCACCTCCCTGCCCTATGCCCTACCCAGCATGCCTTTCATTTAATTATAATTTTATTGTATTACTTTTGAAACATAATTCTGCAGTTATGGTAATGCAATTTAAGTTTTTAAAAAATTAAAAAAACAAATCAGGCTGCTTGGGAATAGTGAGGAGGAGTGGGAAGAGAGGGGGGGAGAAGGAGACTGTGACATCACATTACTGTTTATATTGTAACTGCAGTGGCAGCAACATTTTGCACAGGAGGAATACTGAGCCTACTGCATGATTAGGTGCAACTGATGGGTTTTGTTCATCAATGAAAAAGAACGCTCTAACCACACTTGTCAGTTAAAATGAAATCATAATGCAATAGTTGTGTAGTGTGAAAGGGCCATGGGAAAACATTGAGGAGAAACATTTCACTTTTTAAATAGGATGTCCCCACACTTACTGTTTAACATCAAAAATTGTCAGTTTTTCAAAACAAAACATTAACCACTAGGTGCCTCTGGTTTTATTCTGAGGCTGTGGTTTCCTGAAGGCATTTTAGCATTTAGCATTCCAGAGAGTCCCAGGGACATTGCAGACTACCAGAAATAGTGCAAATTGAGTCCACTTTAAGGGTTAGGGTTAGGGAATCATGGGAACTATATTTTATTGTGGCACTAGAGCTCTCTGACAGAGGAGGCTCAATGTCTCAGAAAAAAAAACAATTCCCATGATTCCCTAGCACTAACCCTAACCCTTAAAGTGGACTCAATTTGCACTATTTCTGGCAGTCTGCAAAGGCCCATAAATTGCCCCCATACCTCCTACTGTTGTCTGTCCCTGCATCAGAGAGAATAAGGCAGCAGATTATGTAGCCTATGAAAAGGCAAAAGGTTGTTAATTATTCATTTATTATCATAGTATTCGTGCTGCCAGCATGCAACGGCCTTGTGAGATTTTCTATCCTGTTGCCCAAACAATTTGGTTGGCCTTAGATATTACTACATATCATGTAGGGAGGTAGGAAAGTGTCTTGAAATGGCTCAGCTGATGGGGGATTTCAAATCCAATGGACACTTTGACTGATCTACTGTGGCAAAGCTGCTTGCTGTTCATGTCTCTTGTCTCTTAGGAGATTATCGCATTATTAATAAACCCAATTTACCTCTTCTGAGTTAAATTTGAATTTGAGATGCAGCCAGGTATTACCGCATGGATTTGTTGTTGCCTCCTGACTGCATCCCTGCAGAAATCCAGCTAAAATCCTATGAACTCACCTTAGGAACCATCTTGATTCCTATAGGGAGGCTTTACGTGCAGCGCAGAAATCTTTCTGTTCTGCACATATTTCGTCTGCAGAGTCTTGCCCAGCAGAGCTGTTTAGGGTGGTGGGGGAATTGACGAGGGTTTTTCCAGTGACGAGCCCCCAACTTAACCCAACAACAGCTTGCTGTGAGGCATTTAATATCTACTTTGCAGATAAAATCTCTCAGATAAGAGCTGACTTGGATGCCAGTGTTTTGGCAGAATTTGTAGACGAGGAATCCAGGAACTCCACTGATGGCATTTTATTGGATCAATTGCAATCTGTGAGTACCAATGACATGGACAAGCTGCTTGGAAGGATGAGGAAGATGACTTGCCCCCTCAATCCTTGTCCACCTTGGCTGGTCGCCCAGGGAGGGGACACGTTGAAAGTGTTCCTTCGGGACACAATCAACGTGTCCTTCAGGGAGG